GGAGTGGGGGGGGGGGGGGGGGGGGGGAACGTTCACCCTAGGGCGCGCTCATGCCTCACGCTGCCGTATTTTCACAAAGCCTTGTGGCTGAAAACACACGCTTTAAGAATTGTACGGAAGAGTTAGTTTTATTAAACCACTGAATGACAAAAATAAACGGAATGGAGGAAAAATAAACCAAAAAAACCCTATACCAAAACTCGCACCCTAAGAAACGAGGGGTTACAGCAGGCCGCTGGGGAAGCTCGGCTGGGCCGCTCGTTGGAACGCACCCCTGGCTCTGCGGTGCCCGCCGCACCGAGCTGCCCTGACCACCTACACCACCAACTACGCCCCCCCCCTTTCAGCTGCGCGGTTCGAGCCAACGCAGAACAACCGCAAAGAGAAAGGGCAGAAGACGTGCCAAGCCGCTGAACAGCTGCAGACAAAGCACCAAACGTGCTGCTTTGGAAGGAAACTGCGAGAGTAACCGAGTACCCCTCACCGCTCCGTGCACCCCAGCCATCTCAAGAGCTTCTTATTAGGCGAAACTATTAGCCAACATAAATGCTGGCTTCACGTTAGCTCAGGCTACGTTAATAGAAAGTCGCTGCCTAAACGCTGAAAAAGGAGTCGGACTAACTAAAGCGTGTCGCTGCTTCTATCTGCGGCCTTGAGCAAGCGGCATCATCAACACCTCAGCCCGATTCCTCGGTTTGCCCTTTTCCTCTTCAAAAGGGAGCGTTCTGCTCGTCCACAAGGGTCTCCCGAGAGCCTCCTCCCAAATGATGGCGAGCAAGAAGTTCAAGTTTGTGAAGCACTCCCACAGTGAAGACCACCATGTAAAAAAAAAACCTACAAGATTCTTACCCTAGTTAAGCAGGACGGAGGTTGTCAGGTGCCATCCTGAGAGCGCTTTAAAGCAGCCAGAACATCAATAACCTTGGGAAGCAGGGTGAAAACCCCAGAACGCTCACTGCCCCCACATTCGGCTCAAGTTTATCCCAAAGAAATTCAACTCCCAACACTCCAGCGTGTGCTTACTGAGATTCACATGGAAACAAACTCGGTTTCTAATGAACTCTACATGCAACTGCCATGTAAAAGCAGACTAACTCTAACTTGCTAGAACAATCAACTTTGTATTTAACGTATCCCCATCTCTTAAGGGAGAGGAACCCTCGTGGTGATGTCCCAGGGGTGGAGAAAGCACTGCGGCTATCCCGCGAGCAGAAACCCGCAGGCACAGCTCCAGTGCGCTCTCCCGACAGCGGGAGGCGCTTGCTCAGTACAGCAGGTGGAAGACTTCCAGCAGCGTAGTGCCGCCAGCCGGAACGCGTTCAGCAGCAGAGGGTCCTCTTCAGGAGTGCTCCGTGGGGCCTGCCCCGTGCCCGTTCACGTGAGGGTGCGATGGGGTTGAGCTCTGGGAGGTAGTAACGCTCTGCTCTGCTGTGGCAGCTGTCAGAGGCATGGAGAGGCTTTCGGGGGACAGCGTGGCAAAGTCTTGTCTCCAGTAGGCTTCGCACAGTGGAAGATCATTGCTGTCACACAGACTGTAGCTTTCCAGAACAAGCAACCCCAGTAAGGAGAGAGAGCAGGTGCAGTAAGAGAGGAGGGGAGGGAGGGAAGGGGTGGGGGGAGCAAGACAGAAGCAAAGCATTAAGAAAATGGCAAAAAACCGTTCGTGGATGTAAGGTCTGCGTTCACAAATTCATCACAAGTCTTGTGACGCTGGCCTTCCCTAAGCCACCCCGTAAGGGCTGGTCTTGAACCTCACGGGCCTGGCGAGGATCAGGGGAATTTCAGAGACAGAACTGTTGCTACAAACTGAAACGGAGGCTCAATTCTAACCCAGACGCTCTAAGTCCCTGAAAAGATCTGGGCTGACATCCTGGCACCCCAAATATGGGAGTTCTGCTACTGGTTTGAGTGAGACGAGGACCTCATCCATAATTACTTTACTTTGAATTAGATCACAACCTATGTGAGGAAAAAAAATCCTGCTCTACATTTAAGTTCAGCAAAAAAGCTAGCACGGTTGTTTTAGGGCCTGTCCCTGTCATGGTAAAGAAGAAACCTATTTGCACCCTCGCCCTTTCAAAAAAAGTGCTCCACACTGGGTCTTCTGTTGAAGCTCCCCAGCCTGAGTGCTCCACAGAAGGTCTGGGTCTTCTGTTGAAGCTCCCCAGCCTGATTATAAAGTACTGACGGCTCCTACCATTTTCAGCAGAACCTGAGCTAACAGTTCTTCTAAAAGCAGCTTGCTGGATTTGACCGCTGTAGACTATGGAACTGGACGAACCAGCAGTGTGGGAAAGTAACGTTTTGAAACAACTGGCTAATTTTTGCCTGTGCTCTGAGGAAAACACAATATGGAAGGGCCGAAACTAAAAAGAAAAATGATGGAAGAAACTGGAACAACACCAAAACAAATTCCAAAGAGAGGAAGGAGCTGCACACACAAGAGACACCCAAGGCAAAGTGAGTGCTGGAGCGGAAAGCAGCTTGTGTTCAGAGTAAAACAAACCCAATGGGTCAAGTGATTTTGTTGTTGCAGCTTTATTTACATTTTTAATGTATGGACTTGAATAGATGCTTAGGGAAATATTTTAAGTGTAGAAATATGAGACACTTCAAATTGCACAAACATGAAACATGTTGAGATCTAACCCCACACTCAAGAGAGCTCCTGTGATCTCAGAGGAGAGAGCAATGGAACATAAATGCAAGTTTGGGGTTCAGGATGAGAGAAGGCAAGCTGGACTCGGAGTTACCGCTTTGGGGAACAAGCACACAAAGCACTAGTTGCAAGCATCTACTTCTGAGCTCTTTTCTGGCAGCATCACCCAGCTGGTTTTTGCAGTAGAAGTGAGAAGGCAGTGGATACAGGTTCTATATCTACCTGGGGCTTTTGTAAAGTCCATTGGAAAATCACCCTTCCCTACAGTCCCCAACACACGGTGAAGCTGGGTTCAATTAGCAAAGACCTTCGGGACTGAACCAGAACGACGACTCCTTTCCTGTCAGTCTTAGACCTCGGGCCGCGGTTTCCCAGGAGAACCTGGCCACAGCATCCACCACATCTTGGCAGGGGAGTTACCAACAAAATTTTAGCTGCATCAGAAGCATAACTGCTTCTCCTGCTGCCCCGGTTAGAACAGTTCCAGAAGTCTTAAGCTTCACCCCTCACATAACACTCCTCAAAAGTCAGGGTGAATGAGCAGCTACTGCACAGCCCGCAACAGCACTGGCCAGCCTGCTACTCCGTCCTTTGACTGAGGGTTTCTCAGCGCGTGGAAGGGACTTCACTACTCCCCTCGAGGCACGCAGCCAGGTCTGCGTGCAGAGGAACAACTCTAGGAAACTACTTGAACACGGGGACTGAAAGCAAAGATTCCTTCAGAACAATCGACTCAGCTTTAGTTTCAAGGACCTGCTTTTCAGGTCTCCTCATCAACACCCCGTGTACACATAAAAGGCCTAGCAATGAAACCCGACCCTACACCCGAGGGGCATCCTATTAAGTTACTCACCACGGGCAAGGGGCTGCCTCCTAAGCCCCTTTAGCACAATGGCAGTGACAACCGCTGGGCAGAAGCTCCCTTCCCCAGGCTTTTCACAGCAGTTGGGAGCAGTGCACAGGGACCAAACGAGCTACACAGCACGTGGCAGCTCTCAGCTTTGCGGCACCTGGAGGTGTGCTGCTGCAGGGAGCTCACTTTTCTACAGCCTTCCCTGGAGGGACGACCTAAAATAAACTAACCAGTGACCTTCAGGGAAACGGGAGCACGGGGGAGCAGTTTGGCAGGATGGCTGTATGGAACCCATGTCCTGGCCTCACGGGACTGCACACCTCTTTATAAATCCTGTGGGATCAAGACCCACGAGAAAGTAACAGATGGTGCAGAGGGGCAACCCCAGCTGGGCTCACAGGACAGCACAGAGTGCCTGTTTTTGGGCAAACCAGCTATTGCTTTTACAGCCGTTTAAACGTGGTTATCACTCTACGGCTATGTGACACAACAGAAACCATTTTTCCCACATTAGACAACAAGGTTTCATTAAAAATATCTTAGTACTCCAATTATAAAAGGACTTTATAAAAAATCATTGTTTCTGTATTTACACACACACACAATTTCTTTGGTGCAGAAAAAGACAGGAAAGAGCACAGGAAGGGAATAAGTGCTAAAAGCAAACGACTAAGTGCTACATGATATGAGGCTTCAGTGGAGGGATCGTAGCTCTGTGGAGTTCCCAAGTTTCCTCACCTCGTGACCACTCTTAAAGAAAGAGCAGGAAGGCAAATCCATTTGGTGTATGCCAACATCTGTGCTTAGGTGTTAGTTCTGTTACGAAGGGTTGCCTTACATGGCATCTGGTGCCAGGCAGGTGAACAGACCATGCCAGCATGGTCAGAACCATTTAGTCCAGAAGTTAAAGCTACTGACGCACAGTGGTGGCAGCCCGGTGACAGTGTGAGAAAAGCACGTCTGGCACACGTGAGGCACTATCTTCCCACACCGCATCGCTTTGGATACAGCTCACTGCTATGCTGTACGCAGCCTACGTAGTGGATGCACCCCCGACCTACTGGGGCCTGGACTGGTGCTTGGGTTTGCGACCATCACTCTTCATTTCTGAGACATTTCTAGGATCCCTTGCCACCCCCCCAAAAAACTGAGTAAAGTTTGAAAAACAACTCTAAACTTTTACCTCTAGTTTTCTTCCAGTGTCGTAGCCATTCCTAAGCTATGTCGTATCAATATCCTTTTACTCTTAAAATACGTATATTACCCATAAATAATGGCCTCACTTCCAAAGATACTGAGCAATTAGGGTTTCAAGTTGACTTAGCTGGGGTTATAGGCATTCAGCATTTTTAGAAAGAAGGGAAAGGCAAAAATAGAAAACCTGGTCATTAAAATTCTAAATAAGATTTCCAAAAGTTAAGTTTTTGTTTAGAAATCATAGCATTATTGCACTGACTTCACTTATCTTGGACAGTGCAGCCAAAATAATCAGGTTCTCATTTGTTTTCTCCTGCTTTCATTCACTGCATCATCAACTAGAAGTGCTGGAGTGCATGACAGAAAATAAAATAAAAAAATAAAGTGTCTGAATTCTCTAAAGCCTGTTTCCTAAGAGTATTTTTAAAATATTAAAAATACCACAAACAAATCAGTACTAAGTCTTCCATAGAAAATCCTATCCTAATACTTCATAATTCAATGAAACCGAGCACGTCTTTTTTGCTCATTGCAAACGTTCACCCCAACGGGACTCCAGGCAGCCGGGGGCAGTGGACTACGAGGAAAAAGGCACTCTGTGTAACCGGGTCACTTGTGAAAGAACTCACCAAAAAGACGTGGTGATCTCATCTAACGCGAGAACCCAGCTCAGCAAGCTAGTCTCTCTAGGGAGAGAGACAGAGGCTCCTCCAGAGGGATACTCAGACAGAAGCCTATACCCCCAAGGAAATTCATCTCCTTTTACAACGATTACAAAAGAAGGCTAAGCAAATTATCTGTCAAATCTAGCCAGCTAAAGCAGGCACCTAGAGTGGGATGCTGTGAATACCTCCTTCAGCATGACATTTATACCCTGTAGGATATCTACAAGGAAAAGGCAGTTGCTTTAGTTGCAGAAAAAGAGTTTGACCTAATTAAAACCACAAGTGAAATTTTGTTGGGAACATTCTCAAGACCTATACTCTAAGGACTACTTGTTTGTCTGGACTAACTACCCCAAAAGGGCTGAAGTCATAAGGCAGAAGTCCACTGCCCTATTTGTACCTGGAAGAGTAATATTCTTCTTCTAGCTCGTACAGGTCAATGGAGATCTCATCCCGTAGTGCAATCAACTTCTTGTCACATTCCTCCTGCAAGCTTCTCAGCTGCTGGTTGCGCTGGTTGATAGCTTCATTCACAGAGGGGAAATCATTCAGGATCAAGAACTGCTTCAGGTCAGACACAAGTTTCATCAGGGACTCACCAGCTCGGACCTTGTAGCAGTGAAAAAAAAAAAAATCACACAGTGTATCAAAACAGTGCTTTGCTCCAATTCTAAAACAAGATCTCCTGAGCTGCTCCTTCAGCCCAAGCCTTGAATAAAGTAGAAACTCCCACATTACGTGAGGATCCTGACAGAAGCCTGTAGCCGACAAGCCAGGCTACCCAGCTTTCCCCCTAGAGAAGGGATTCAGCCAACAGCCACCCCCCGTATCAGGTTACTCTTCTAGCAGCAGTGCTCCTGAGAGTTATAAAGGCTGCCCTAGATGCAATAATGAACGCAACAGTACCTGAAGGATGTGCTGCCCACTGATTTGAACAGCAGATGCTACTCACAATGTTTGCGGCTCTGACATGCATCTCATAGTTATCTTGTTCACCCTGGGTTGCTCGAGAGACTTGAGTTTCATCCTCAATCTAAAGAAAAAAGTGTACACATTCACCTTTACATACTAGAATCCTGGTAAGTAATTACTACATTATAAGGCATCTCATTTCAATTCAATCCACACCTGGAAACCCTGGGGCGGCCTCTGGACTCTACAGCACCCACGGATCATCTTTGCTACCCTCCCCGCTTGCTTCTGCGGTTCTCCCCCGTTCAGCAACATCGCCTGGCTGCCCGCAGGGCGGAGGCAGGGAGGCCAGCAGCAGCCGGGGAGAACCGACCACCGCCCGCCCTGGGGAAGGAACCCCCTTCCCTCACGGCCGCCCTCGGGGGAACCGGGAGAAAGGTCCCGCCGCCGCTATCCCCTCTCCCCTCAGGGCCCCTGCTCTCCCCTCCGGGCCCCTGCTCTCCCCTCAGGGACCCCCGTCTCTCCTCAAAGCTGCCGCCGGGGAAAACCTGCCCCTCTCCCCTCAGGAGCCCGGGTGCTCCCGCGGGCGCGGCCCCCTCCCCTCGGGGCTCGGCTCCGGCCCAGGCCCACCTTGGCAGTCTTGATGATTTCGGTGAAGTTGTCCATGATGGACTTGACGTCGTCCGCTCCCGCGGGCGCGGCCCCCTCCCCTCGGGGCTCGGCTCCGGCCCAGGCCCACCTTGGCAGTCTTGATGATTTCGGTGAAGTTGTCCATGATGGACTTGACGTCGTCCTTGAGGCGCTTGTTGTAGGACTGCAGCAGGGTCTCCTTGCTCTGCGGCAGCACCCGCTGCTGCGCCATGGCGGCCGGCGCCCT